CATATAGGCTCAGCCAGCTGAAGCAAACCCAGTAGTAGCAGCAGCCCTAAGAAGATGCCAGTCGATACTACCAGCTCAAACGGGCCATGCAGCTATAGGAACCTACCTGCAAAAGATTCAGGCACAGGAAACGGAGGCAAGCCAGGGATGCCAGGCCTCAAAAGAGTCAGTCTACCATCCCCTCTTTGAATGTAGGCAGTGGCGGAGGCAGCGAGAGACCTTATATCAAGGTCTCACTAAGACTGGGATTGCCAGACCAACAATGGCAGAGGAGTATCCAGAAGGAAGGCTGTTTGGCAACCCTAAAGCCTCACGAGCCCTGCTGCAGTTCCTAGCAGATACTGCCATGGGCCACCCCCGGGGGGACCATGCACGGGCAGTAGATAGGGATCATAGGGATGATGAATGGGCGCTGGAGGCCCTGGAGGAGGCAGAACGAGAGGGGGAGGGATAATAGGGGAGGGTGGCCTGCAGCAGGCAGGTGACACCCATATGTGATAACACCAAGGAGGGCATATATAATGCCCAAAGGCCCTGCGCAACAAGGCGGCTTGGGCCGAGGAAAAGGTCCAGAATGGTCAAAGATGGGAATTAGAGACTAGATAGGGGTGTCGCCCATGATTCGGGGTCTGTCATAGCCGAAAGACTCGGTATGGACGTTAAAACTTGATTAATAATAATAATAATAATTAATAAGTAGCTGTGCTATGCACTGACATCTGCCCCCTTCTCCAGCAGCTGCTGTACCACCTTCTCATGGCCTTGATAGGAAGCAGCCTGGAGAGCATTGCCATAAATGCCACCTTGGGCATTGGCGTTAGCACCCTGATCCATTAGACACTGGACTGTATTCCTTAAGCCCCCAAACGATGCATAATATAATGCAGGAGGCGGTTCCTCTTTCCTTCCAGGCTCTAGCTTCTCCGGCTTATAAGGTCGATAGCAGTTGGCATATGACCTTTCACTGGAGAGAAAAAAACTCCATGATAAGCCTTTGTAGCACCTTGTCCCTGCCTTCGCCTATAGCAGCATGATGCATCCAATACTCTGCACAATACTGAGCCAATGGAAAGATCTCCCTGATTCTTTGCACTGGAATGTCCTGGTCTATGTGCAACAGATATGCTAAGCAAACTGTTGCAATTGACGATTTGGCAGGGATCTCCTGAAAACACACTGTGAAATCATTTTCTAGCCGGTTTGACGTCAAATATTCTTTGACTTGAGAAGTGCGCCAGTTGAAGTTCCACAGCAATCTTCTTACCGTTCTGATCATACCAGTGTTTCTTTCTGTTGACAACGACCACCAAGCTTGAGCAGTACCTCGATATCTCCCTTGGCACCGGCATCCTATTTTTGGGGTCAAATCGTGGCACGCCTTCAGGGTCCACGGCTATTGCGTCAACAGCCTCTTCAATTAGCAGAGACCGATTGGAGAAGGATAAGAATTGCAGAATCCTTATGGCCTTTTGTTTATGCCCACGAGGAATAGAATTTAGTATTCGGGCGTAGGTTTCATCCAATGTGTCCGGGAGGGATGCAAGTGCTTCTCGGAGTTCAGGATAATCAAGGCAGCTCTTTAATGCCTCTACCTGGCACGCAGCCCAGCGGAACCTATGACATGTTAGTTCTCTATGTTAAAGATTTACTAAATAATACAATTATTTGGAACTTACATTCCATCAGCTTTCTCCATAAGTCTGTTCTCAATCTCATCCTGAACTTCTGGAATCGATCGCCACCTCTTGAGGCCTTCATCCTCTCTGATTTTTGTACGAACATATTCACGGATATCATTAGTAACAAACGCCTTCTGAATGGCTATCATGTCTTCAGTTCTAGCCCATTCACTTATGGCCGATTCAATGTCTTGTTCTGGGCGACTTGTGACAATGAGGTGGACATTCCTCAGCTCAGAGTCTAGGATGCATTTTATCCATAACAGCAGTGCTTCAGTTTCTTTCCTTGTATTGCATTCGTCAAGAGCATCCAGTACAATCCAGACTTCACCAACCTGCTGTATCATCTGCCGGAGACTAATATTCAATGATTCAGTAGTTGGCTGTCGACGTCCGTCTTCGCAGGAAGAGAAGAGTGAATTTAACTGCTCCCTGATGTCCTCCTGTTTGTTGTAGAGCTGACTGATGAGTGAGCGGATCATGCTGTCCAGTGACTGCTTACTGATGTCGTTGAAGTTGAAATAAAAGTAGAGGACTGGTTGGTATGTGGTTTCCTCAAGATCCTGAATGATGGCAGAGCTGAGAATTGTCTTCCTGCATCCAGGGATGCCATGAAGCCACAGAAAGGAATTTGGTCGCTTCTTCCATTTGGCAAAAACATCGCCATGAAGGAACCAGAGGCCTGAGTCCTTGTGGCGTTGCTGTAGTGCTTTATTATAATCAGCTGAGGGATCTGGGGGAGACAGCCAGCGTTCAATTTTGTCTCGCATATATTCTGTGCACAACTTTTTGACAATAATATTTGTATCTTGAGTTGTAACTTGGACTTTACTCATGCTTTCTGTAACTTGAAATATGTTAACAGGATTGTTCTTACTGAATCTTTACATTAACTAACCAGAAGAAAGAATATCATTGATCCTCTTCTCAGCCTCCACCCTGGTGGGGGGAAGTTGACAAAGAATGTCTTTAGCATATGCAGCTGCAGCCATAGCTGCATACCCTTGCCACTCTTTGTTCTTATGGGAATCTGAGTAATCGCAGATACCTCGAATAACCAGACAAGGAAAGTGGTTCATCAGCCCAGCCGCTTCCATTTCAAAACATAATACGTCCTTTTCTTGTGCGAGCGCATCTCGGATCAAAGCATCCTTCATTAACTGATTTGCTGACGCAATCAAACCGTAATGGATTTTTGGATTGTCTTCGCTCTCAGTCCGTTCGTGTCGGACTATCAACTTTGATGGATCGTCACGGCAGACAGCTGCGCAGGTCATGTCACTGTCTGGTGGATGAGTAACTTCAGCTTTATACAGCCTGTCACTTCTTGGGTCCGGCCGCTTGTACTTCTGCCGAAGTCTTTGGTTCTTTTTGAGAATTTTATTGATAGCTTCTTCAAGCTGATGCCCTTCTTCCTCATACTGTGCCTTGAGGCCATTTACTGCCGTGCGCAGTAAGGTTGGTGGTTGATCGAGGAATCTGGTATGTTGGAAGCTCTGGTCTTGTATCGTTTTGCCATAGTCATACTGGAAGACGCCCCCCCACTTCCATTGCGAAGAGAGATAACAACAATGTCGCCGAGACGGATATCATGCTTTTTGCTTGGCACGCCGCCGCCAATACCAACCATTAAACCAATTCTGATGTTTGGAAAGCTGTGCAGCATGTCTCTTGCAACCTGCTGCAGAGTCTGTGCCATATTCGCTGTCCGGCAAAACGGCCGAGACGACGCTATGTTTCCCAATTTTGCCTAATGTGTAGGTATTATTGTCATGAGGAGAAACATATGCTGGTCCTTCATGCTTTTCGTCCAGAAAATGCTCGTGCGGCAACATACTCCGTAGTCACGGCACAGATCCAGCCGACAGTGTAGTCTTCAGGGTTTGACATGCCAAGTACATAAGTTTTTCAGCCTCTTGAAACCTGGGAAGCCTTAAAATCAACAATCTGACATCATTGCACGGCAAGTTGCAATAGAATTTGTGGACGTACCAGGTGGTAAAGGAGGCAAAAGGCAGTTAGATATACTATGCTGCTTACCCAAAAAGAAAGAAAGAAAGAGGATGGAGGAGGCCGGTTTGGGGGTTCCCAACATAACTACCGGGCTGAAGGCAGGCGCAGGCAGCCACAGGCAGCCTGAGTTAGTGGAAGGACCAACCAGGCGGAAGCAATACATGACAGTAGGGCTGTGCTGGGCATCATTGCAGCTGCAGTGCTCAGTGTCCAATGGTTTGCCTCTAATAAAGCGCCTTGTGGCATATGCCAATCGCCAAGGAGAAACAGGCCTTAATGCCTTTCTGTGTGCAGGCGCTGACTCCGACGCCTTCAAACTTGACCCATGATTGAAGACTGCTGCTGGAGAAAGAACTGGAAAAAGTCACTGCCCCCAAGGTAACCAGGTACATAAAAGAACTGCTGCATGAACAGTATCCCTTAGTGACAGATCAGTCAACAACGCCTTGTGAGGACCACTCAATACAAGAGAAAAGTATAGAGGTCTGAGTCCTCTAAAGACTGCAACCTAGAAAACAACACCTGTCTGACACTGACTGGTACTTTGTGAGGGGCTAGACCCCTGTCCTAGATCTCGGGCGTATGCCCTCGATTTCATGTTCCTTGTCTGAACCCCTGTCGGGCACATGACCTCAACAATGTTCTTTGTTTGATTCCATTTCTTTGTCTACTTGCCCCCATATCTATGTTATGCAAGTTCTCTTTCTTGTTTGTTCTCTTCCTTAACGAATCCTCTTGTTATCTACTACATTAGTAGTTAGGAATTGGAGTTGCCTCCTTACACAGTGTAAGGGAAACAGCATCGACGAAAGACCACTGCTGATGCCAAAAAAATTAGTGGAATGCAACAAGATGACCACAAAAGTGTTGATACCAAAGAATTATCATTCTGGCGATAATGAGGATGCTCCACGGATTGAATACCCTCCTGCATTTGGAGGATACTATGGGATAAGGACTGAACTTCACTTTTAAGGCAGCAACAGAAGAGGCTGTGCAAATGCCTATAAACCAATGGGAGACACAGAACTGTCATATTTGAGGTGCAGAGGACACCGCCAATGGGGAACTATGATGTAGGTCCATGTTAGCTAAAAAACTATAAAGGTGAGCCAGCCCTGTACTAATCGCTATCGTCGCACGACCATCGCGCGACAATCACCCCACTCACCTGCCCCTCACCCTCGATTAGGTGAGCTCAAGGCGGCGTTGCTCACCTACTAGAACCGGAAGGGTAGTCGACCGGGTGCTCGTGGATTTTTGCTCGGTAGGTAGGCAGGTAGATATGCACATACATACAATCAAAATAGTACGTAGTATACTTCGTGAAGAGTGCCAATTGACTATGGCAGTCTTAATAACTTTTACTATTTTATATAGATTAGAGCACATTTGCTTTTTGTTTTTGGCAAACAAACATTCGAAGAAGTATTAGCTTGCTTTTCGAATTAGTTGGATCTCTGAGTCGGGGTATCTACAGGTATGTGTGTACATACGCAGGTCTTTTGAGAGAGAGGGAGGGAGGGTGCTGTATCTAAATCTAAAAGGTAAAGAGGGAGAAGGGAGGTTCAGATCGAGATATTACTGAGTTTATGGACGAACATTAATTTATTCTGGCATAGATAGGTCCTGTAGAAAACAGATTGCTAGTCTCTTGGTTAGAAGAAACCTGGCCAGGTGAAGAAGACCTTATCTGGGATCTAGTTCTATCTGCGTTATTATATCCAGCAGGTATGTAGATAACTCTGCTTGATATGATATCAAGATATTGTCAAAATGTCAGTAGTATTATCACTGTTGTTGTCAGCAACTTCAACTGAAGACAATAACAGCAGGTTATTTGCTGCTAGCAAGGATCAGATCAATTGAAACCTCTGTTAATGTCAGTTGTCAGTATTATTGTTATTGCCAGTAACCCGTCCAGCTCCTGACAGCACATCTCAGAAAGCTCGCATGTCGATGTGATGGACAAATGCAATTGGTAAAACTCGTACCTTTCTTCGAGCACATATGCACTTATTGCTGCTATGGTCTCAGATTGACAGCCTGCTGGTCAGTGCACCGCACTCTGTTTCTGAAGATATGTGTCGAGGATTCTGACAACCACTAGATTGCCGCATCTCCCTTGGGCAGTGTCTCAACGTTGATGAAGATGTCAAGGCAATTGTGCAAAATCAAGCAGCTGGGTTGCAGCATTATGCTGTATGATGGTGAGAATTGTAAAAGTTACTCTCAACCCTGGATCTATGACGTTAATCAGTGCACGGGAACAAACAACGTCGTGGTCAGGAGTGGGTGGTACTTTTGTGCTGTCTAGAGCATGACCATGGCTATGAGAGATCAGAGGAGTACATGGTTTCTTCAATCAAGCTTGTCAAAAGTGTATCTCAATCGCATGACAACCTAATATTCCGTATATACCGATAAGTATCGGTCGTAAATTGCCCACCTTCCTAGACGAAAGATACCTTCGATCCTTGTAAGCCTTTTTCTATAAAGCCATGCTCGAATTTTGGACTCAAGAGTCTGTAATGGCATCCTTTCACATCTATTCCGCTAATCAGTACCTGCCAATAGTATCCAAATAGACCAGGGCCAAGTCATAGAAGTATGGGAAGACTCCAGAAGTTTCTGTTATTACTGCTGCAATTTTGGTAGATAACCTGATATGATGTGTAATCTGTTGTAAGGGCTTCTCAGATCGGCTATCGTAAGGGCGCTAGTAAGTAAGATATCGATTGTCGCGAGATAATCAAGTATCCGCTATTTTCTAGTCACTGATTTAATTCTCGGACTATTTCGTTAGAATATTGTCCAGTTTATATCTATTAGTTTCGCTAGTAAGGCAACAGGATATCTTGTGATTTGGCTGTGTTTTGGGAATCGGACTGGTGGCTGGATCCTGTGCGATTCCTGTGTCTGTCAGGTACTGTCAAAGCATGAATTAATCAGTAAGGCAAGAAAAATACAGGAATGTTTGTGTTAACTGTCTTCAAAAACTTCTTGCGAGAGGAGTTTCTATTCTTATAGCCCTATAGCAGTCAATCTTGACGACGAATAAGAAATTCCAGTATTATGCGATAGTATTGCCTTACTTCATTGTCGCTTGTAAAATACTTTATTCTCAATTGACAATTATATTCTGCAAACAAGGCCGGAACGTGGGTTACCCATTGTTCGGGAGTTTTCTTTTTTTTTTTTGTATGGAGCAATGTGCGTGTCCCTACGTATATTCCATACTCACCCGCCGTGTCTGCAAGTACTTATAAAAGAAATCAAACATCTACTTTTTAATCGAAATCAACCTATCTAGCATCGTGGCTTGACACCAAACTTCTTTTTCTTTCTTGGCTACCTACCGTATAATGCAGGCCCATTCATCACCGCAACAGAAAGTTTCATCTACAGGGCGTTGACAAGTCTGCGCTCCTTCCTAAGTGCCCTCAGCTTAACGCGCACCTCATCCAGAGGAATCATAACGCCCTTGGCATGGGTGGATGGGTCATCGCGATTGCGAACATTGACCGATCGGCTCTCCTTTTCTTGAGCACCCACAACTATTTTCAAATTAGCGTCCTAATCGTCATGCAGAGACACCAGAGAGATGCCAGGTCAGAACTCACCAAAAATGAAGTTGTACTGTGCCAGCTGACCGGTGCGGATCTTCTTCTGTAAAGTGTTGCCGCTGATGTCGACGTCAACATTCAGCTTGTCCCCACGCAGAATCTGCTGCAGCTCCAGGACATAGTCGTTGACCGCGGGCATAACAGGCACAATCAGAATCTGCCGTGGGCTGATCCAGAAAGGCCACTTGCCACCGAAATGCTCAGTCAGAATACCCAGGAATCGCTCAAAGCTGCCGATAATGGCGCGGTGGATAACAACCGGGCGTGCACGGCCAGGACCTGGTTCACCAGCCTTGCCTCCGCTTTGGGCTTTAGAGTCTTCTTGATCGGCCTGAACTTTCTCATTGGTCATGTACTCGAGTTTGAAATTCAGCGGCGCCTGGTAGTCAAGTTGGATAGTCGCACATTGAAACTCTCGCTTCAGGGCATCGGCAATCGTGATGTCAATCTTTGGGCCATAGAAAGCACCATCACCTTCATTGATTGTCCAATCATTGCCTTTGAACTTGGTCAATGCCAGCTTCAGCTGTTCCTCAGCATAGTTCCACGTCTCCAAGTCACCCAAGTACTTTTCGGGACGAGTAGACAGCTTCAGCTTGAAGGTGAAACCAAACAGCCCGTAAATGGACTTCAAGAAGTCGAAAAGACCCTCGATTTCGGACGAAATCTATACATTCATTAGCTTGAGTACAAGCATAATTATCCCGATACGTAGTATTTACCTGTTCAGGCGTGCAGAAAATGTGAGTATCATCTTGCTGGAATTTTCGGACACGAGTCAATCCGCTTAGAGCGCCGGAGGCTTCATTCCGGTGCAGGACTCCAAAGTCGGCAATTCTCAGAGGCAATTCCCTGTAACTTCTTTCACGGTGGGAAAATAGTATAAAGTGACCAGGGCAGTTCATCGGCTTGAGTGCCCATTCTCTTTTTTCAACGTCCAATTTGAACATGTCATCCTTGTAGTGAGCCCAGTGACCTGAAGTCTTCCAGATGCTCACGTCGTACATATTGGGCGTCTGCACCTCTTGATATCCGCGCTTCCGATACTCAGAACGCAAAAGCTTCTGCAGAGCGTTGAAAATCTTAGTGCCGTTAGGGAGAAGGAAAGGAGACCCAGGCGACACTTCGTCAAAGAAGAACAGTTCCTGCTCCTTTCCAATCCTCAAGTGGTTTCTTTTCTCTGCTTCTTCAAGGAACTTCAAGTGCTCTTGCATCTGCTTCTTGTCAGGGAACGCAACGCCTCTGATTCGTTGCAGAGAGTCATTGTTCTGGTCACCGAGGAAATATGCCGAGGAGTTCTATAGAAGTACGTTAGTGCATGGCGACGGGAGTATCATAGGATATACGTGCCTGCATGATCTTGAACGCCTTGATCTTGCCGGTGTTCTGGATGTGGGGGCCTCGGCATAGATCAACCAGGGTGCCGCAACGGTAAACCGTGCTCTTCTCCCCCTCCACGAGGTGATCAATGTAGTGGAGCTTATATTTACTGTACCCAAACATTTTCTTGAGGTTCTCCTTGGTCACTTCCAACCTATCAAAGTTTTGTCTTTCCTTGAAGATCTGAGCTGCTTTCTTATCCAAAGACGGCCAATCGCTTTCCTTGACAACGCGGCTGGCAGAGGTCAGCTATCTTCCAAGAGCATAACAGGTGTGTGCATTTCGCGATCTAACGTACCCTCCTGGAATCGCCATGTCATAGAAGAAGCCTTGCGCGGTGGGCGGACCATGTGACAAGAGGCACCCATATTCAAGCTCGCAAGCTTCTCCCAGACAATGAGCACTTGAATGCCAGAACACTTCCCTGCCCTCCGGAGAGTCGAAAGGAAGGAAGGTAACCTTGCAATCCCTCTCCAGAGGCCGGTTCAAATCCCACAGCTCCTTTTCATCTATCTTGGCAATGACAACATTAGCGCTGACCTCTTTCGGAACATCCTTGAGTAAAGAGGCAGGGGTGGTTTCCCAAGCTTTGGCGATAATTGTGGATGGGTTCCCGTCGCCGATATCGATCGTCACGTTGATGTCAAAACGAGGCTTTTCCTTGAGCTCCTTGAGATGTTCCTGCCATAGCTCTTCGAAGAGCCTGTTTCGCTCAATGATGAAATCCGGCAGCGAATCGCCCGTTTGCTTTTTGGGCTTCTCGCTCTCCGTCGTCGGCGCACCTTGTGCGGACTCTGCAGCAGCAACAGCTTGAGCCTCCCCAAGCGATCTCGTAGGGAGATCCTCGGTTCCGTGTAAAGCCATGCCTTGAGTCCTCGAGATTGATAATCCGCTAGAGATCAGTTTAACTGCCGTGACTGACGCGGGGTTTTGTCGGCGATGAATGACACATTCTCTCGGTGGGCTGGAGGGGAAGAAGGCGGTGTGTCACGTGACAGGTACGAAGCTAACTGGCTGCACTTTACCGCTTTAAGCTTCCCACATGGAAAACTTCAAACTGCCGCTCAACCATCTCAGTACGACAATTCAACCATCATGTCTTTTCGCGGGGGTGGTCGAGGCGGTGGCGCTGCCACTGGCGCCAACCGTGGCGGTAAGAATGATTTCAGCTACGTGAATTTGGGCAATTAAGTTCGTCTGGCTGACATCTGGCGCAGGCCGAGGTGGTTTCCAGCAGTTGACCGGTCCTCCTGCCACAATTTTAGGTATATCGATCCTGCCTGTTTTTCTTTTAAACACCCTCTTGCAGTGGCTTATTGCTAATTTTTCACAGAGATGGGCAAGTTCCTGCATGCTTGCGAGGGAGAGATGGTCTGCGAATCGATTAATCCGAAGATTCCGTATTTCAACGCGCCAATCTACCTGGAGAACAAAGTACGATGATTGCACTTTATATGTTGTTTCTAGTGCGGTCTTACTGACTCTTTCTTCTCTGCAGACCCCTATCGGCAAGGTTGATGAGGTTCTCGGTCCGATCAATCAGGTCTACTTCACCGTCAAACCTCAAGAAGGAATCGTCGCGAGTTCATTCAAGGCTGGCGATAAGTTCTACATTGGAGGAGATAAGCTGCTGCCTATAGAGAAGTATGATTCTGGAATCCTTAGGGCTTTAAATTTGTGTGACGTTTCTAACTCTTGACCTAGGTTTTTGCCCAAGCCGAAGCCCCCGCCAGGTACGCGACCAACTCCTATCTGCGTTGGATTCCCACCGGTTCTGACTTCATACAGGTGCTGTTACTAAACCTAAGAAGCCTGCTGGTGCAGGTAAAGGAGCCCGCGGTGGCAGAGGAGCAGCAAGAGGTGGTGCCCGAGGCGGACGAGGAGGAGCAAGAGGCCGGGGAGGAGCAGCTAGAGGCGGCGGCCGCGGCGGAAGCGGCGGCTTCTCGAGGGGAGCATCTAGAGGAGGTCGTGGCGGTTCCAGAGGACGTGGTTAGGTGCTCTGCCTCGCCATTTTGTCTTCTTACGGCGTTGGGGGGAAACGGAAACTTTCAAAACGGATTATTTGCCTGGATTTTTATGCGCATCTCAAAATTTTATGTTGCCCGTCTGAATATAGATGTGTAAATTAAAAATGTCGCTTCGAATATTTCCCTTGTTGCTGGAGAATTCGTTTTGCTGGATGTCATTTTTCATATTCTTGGCCTCTTCATAAATTTCCTACGCACCAGCCTCATTTTTGGCGCACGGTAATTTTAAAGTTAAGGCTTGTGGCCTCAGCCACACACGCGCACCTCTGTCTCCATACAATGACGTCTCACCAGCAGCGGTGTGGCTAGAGGCAGGACAACAACTCTTAACTGCAGATCCTTACGGACTGGCCGCCCTGGCACCCTGGACAGCGCTTTAACTGTCTGACTGTTCTACAACCAAATACCCCCCACTCACTACCACATTTCAATGCTGTTTACGACATAATCCTTCTGATAGACTCATCATCCATCCTTCTGCGTCCACTACCATGTCCCGCAGAACGCCAAATTCCTCCGCAAGCTCGGAATCGAGCGGCGGCGGCGGTGTAGACAAACACGACGGCGGTACGGTTGAAAGTGCTTGCCGCCTTCTATGAAGACCAGCACTTACCATCTTAACAGGTCAAGAGAAACAGAAGATGCTTCTTGCTTCGGAAAGCGGTCACTTTAGCTTGATAAGGTCAGTGGTTGTCATTGGATTTTAATGGGCTGGAACGGTCATTGATCAAGAATTGATTTGCAGAGCTCTTCATCTCGCGGATCTCATTACGGAACTCAATGGTACGAATTGACTCTGTTCTAAAATATCCAATGTTGGGTTTACTAACTCGTCTATGCAGGGTTTTGTGGATGTAAGCTCTGACCACCTCCGCAACTGCGCGAGACACCTTTGGAAACTAAAGAAAGTTGTGCACAGTCATGTCGATCCTCTCATCGATGCGTTACTGCCTGGCGGATCCGAAGGATACTGAGGCATTGTGGGTGGCTCTCGCTTTCATGCCTTTCGGCCTCTTCTTCGATTTCATGGATGGGAGGGTTGCGAGATGGCGGAGGAAATCCTCGTTGATGGGGCAGGAACTAGACTCCTTGGCAGACTTGGTAGGCTCGTTCGATATAGCTGAATCGGAAGGCGTACGGATCCACTGATTGACATGGTTCGAATTTGCAGATCTCATTCGGCGTTGCACCAGCTGCGGCAGCGTTTGCTATTGGCATCCGTACGAGCGTTGACCATTTATTACTCACCTTCTTCGTTCTGTGTGGCCTGACAAGGCTGGCACGATTCAACGTGACCGTGGCAGTGCTCCCAAAGGATAAGAATGGAAAGTCACGGTACTTCGAGGGCACTCCGATCCCGACGACGTTGTCGATTGCAAGTCTCATGGCCTACTGGGTTTGGAAAGGCTGGACGCACGAGAACATACCGCTGGGAGTTGTAGCAAAGGATACGATTTTTGAGTTTCACCCTGTGGCACTCTTATTCGTCCTGAGCGGCTGCCTCATGGTCAGCAAGACCCTACATATACCTAAACCCTGAAATCCTCATTCCCAGCCGTGCAGTCCCGGTACATGGATCCGGATGCCTTGTTCTTCGATCAAACTGTGATGATAGGAAAAGATATGGGAGTGGAGAGTGATGAAAAGCAAAAATGATATAGAGAAATATGCATGGTAGAATACGAGACCTCAAGAGAAATGGAACATGTGTGAACGGTTACAGATTAGAAGGCCCAGGTCAAAAGCATAAGGATAACGATAAACGGCTCAAAGCTAATATTAGGGAAAGCATACGTCAACACATCATCATCGTAGATAGCGTCGAACCATCACTTTTTCGATTAGGAGCATATCAGGTACGTTCTCAGGCAGGTAGATAGAGCAAGATCACTCTACTGCGTTCTTAACATTGCAGCAAAAGAAGCAGCTTTACCTAAGCGACGAGAATAATCTCTCCTGGAATTAATACTAATTCAAGCACCTTCCTCTCTTTGTTCCCCCCCTTCTCCCCCTTCTATCTAAACGAACAAAGTGAGTCTAACGCCTACGCACGCTGAATGTCTGACATAGCCGCGCTCGTTGTTGCCGCATGCTGTTTACCAGCGGTCATGATTCTGGGAGCCATCACATCCATTTCGAGAAGGACGCGCAAACCGAAAAGACCGACGCCTAATACTACCACTGTTACGAGAGATAATAGCAATATCCTCGAGAAGCCGGAGGAGGAGGAGACTCGTCGTCAAAGGAGGAGAAGGAACATCAGGGTCAAAAAGAGGAAAGGATAAAATCCGTACCTACCTACCTGGCTACAAAACGCATGGATCAGGAAAGGCAGGAACAAAAGCGAAAACAACGAAAAAAAAACCAGGCGAGATCTCGCCTGAGCAGACAATAGTCGGGCGTTCAACCAAAAAGTCTACAGGCATCTGGTCGACTTATCCCGAACACTTCCGGTTTCACCTCTGTTCTTCAAGAAACAACAATATACCGTACTGCCGGGTTTCCGCACCGCACTTCGAATCAAATAATGAAGGGGCTGATGAGTACATAATAGCATTAGGCAGGTTCTATATAGTATAGAATATTACCACGTATACGAACTGGGTCATGTTTATTCGTGACAGAATGGATGCAGGAGTTTATAATCTACTTTGTTTCCGTCGAGGAATGATAACGGTGCTAGATAGATAGATCAGGCACAACACAGCACAGCAGCAGTCTCAAGTTCTCTATGTATCTCTCCATTCGGTCTTTTGCACAGTCCGACCTGTCAGCCAGCCATCCCGGAAAGCCGTGAGGTCCGTTGATAAAAAAAAAAGTACTCCGTAGTCCGTACGGAATACGGAGGCCTTCTCCCCCGTCCCACAGTTTCTTTTCAGCCTCACGTTTCATGGTATCCACAACGCGGTAAAAATAAAAGTCACTCCAGGCCAATCGTTTATTTTTGTTGGTTTTTATTTTCTTTGATTTTCTTTTTTCCCCCGCGTCCTCCGGGCTGTCAATAGATCCTTTCCTTCCAAAAAGTTAGAAACAGCAACAATACATGGCTACTTCCCACTTCCGCAAGAGTTCTGACCAAGATTTCTTAGATACGATCATGATCGTAACTCGTCATCTATCATACTCTGTACTGTAACCTCCTCAAGTAGAGACCACAGTCTACTCCGTAGGTTCTAGACCTTCAATTGATACAGCGGGCATGGGGCGGGCTAAGACGCCCCGAAAAGCCCTGCAAGGGCCCCTGTAGCACTATCGAAATCCCTAACTCTGTAAGTTTTTCTTTTCTTTTCTTTTCTTTTTTTTATAGGTTGTCTTTGTTTTCCTTTTATGGGCAATTCTGCGATCGAGGTTAGAGTAGCTGTTCTGAATAGCAATGTTTCTTCCTGTACAGCAGAAGAGCAGACCGCCTGAGCAAATCTTATGGACAGAGTGAAACGCTTTAGCGCTCCACAAAAAAAAAGCATGGGTCGACAAAGACATGCAGGGACAAAGGTTCTGACCGGTTGTACTGTATGCTAGGAGATCACGAACCGGACCATTGCGCGTTTGTACTCCGTAGTTGTGTTCAGTTCAGAGTACGGAGTACTCCATACTCCGTAGAATTTGTTTTCTGGATTCGTTTGATTGAATCATGCCAGATGATAATTTCGCCTCCGTTCACCTCCTAGCCTTATTGTCGGGACAACAATGGGGCTGACTTACCTATATGGGGAATAATAGTGAAGTGTATTATAGGAAGGATTGACATACGAATACGACCAGCAATTGGACCGTTGAAGTACGGTGTCCTGACAACTGTACAGGGCAAACTGTTCATCAAACTCGAAACGAATAAATGGGGCTTTTGGGGGCGGGTCCCTGGCCGGTTGTGGAGACGGAAAAGTGGCTGAGTACCTGAAATCAGGCTGATTATTCTTCCCTTGTTCAGGTACCAGGACAACTCACATCGAGTAAAATGGTGCCATGCGGAGTACTCCGTCCAGCAAGACGGATCATGTTCGCATGATGCGTGGAAACTGAGCCACAAAGAGAGTTACAAAGAGTGTGCCTCTGATGTCATCTGAGCGGAGCGCATCGATTGCTGGAAAAATGATCGATTTACTCCGTATTCCTCAACACAGCGCACTATTAATTACTGGCTCTGCTATGCAGTGTATGCACATCATGATCAAAGCGCCTGCGTGGTTCTGCGTCTACCAGGCTCATAATAATGTAGCAGCCTTGGAGAAAATTTATTTCCTCGTTTGCCAGTGGACGGACAACTGGACGGTTCCTGAGTGTGACACGGGATCACGAGGTCCACAAGCGCGGTGTCCCAATAAGAGCAAACAGTCGAGTTTGCCACGGTGGACTGTACAGCGTCATTGTTTGGGGATGCAAATTAAGTGAACATCAGGATGATGGGACAGTTCATGAAATCTGGGGAAATAATCATGATTGATGCGTTCATGAGTTGTTCTGAATGCCATCATTGCCATTTCGGGATCCATGGCGCCTGGATAAGAATTCGAGTCGGATATGCTCCGATGAAAGATGCTGAACTGCTTCCCGTCCAGGAGCACTGTACCTGTCTATTCCTTCCGCTGAGGATTACTAGATAGCGCGCGATCAGTGACCAGATTGGAGAAAAACAAAAGCGATGTATGACATACACCTTCGGCTCTGTCGGCCATGTCATCATTCAGTCAGACTGCCAGTTCACCGAGTGTGGCAGCCATCTCGTGCTCGCCTCACATCACACGACCCGTTCTTCCCTGTTATTCCGCTCTGTAATCATACCGCGTACCCTGGTCGAGCTGTGTAACGCAAACGCCAATGAGGACACGCAGCGGCCGCCCCCCGCCCATGCGCGCCCGCTGATTTCCCCTGATGGAGCGGCGCTAGGACTGTTTTGGGCAGGGGCATGCCTGGGCGGCCCAAGGCAGGCGAACCAAGCGCCCCAAACAGGCAGGGACCGTCATGCCTCGGCCCGCTAGTGGGCCGTAACTAGCCGTCCCAGGACAGCAAGGTCCCTCGCGCGTGGCCCAACCAGGACTAGCGCAGTTCCCTCGACAAGTCGACACAGCAGGCACCCGAGCTCAACTCAGGAGAGGAGAGGCCCGTCCATCCTCCTCTCCTCCTCCACCCGCACCCTGTCTGTCGGTCCTTCTTATCCCCTTTGCCAGGGCTTCCGGCGCCCATCTTCCTCTCGTTTATCCTTTAGTCTGTCCTGGTGTTCTCTACCTCCCGACGCCCTTCCTTATTATCGTCGTTCTTCTCTTGGATTCGAGCGCTCATGCCGCATTAATCAAGGCCACTCTGCCGTCGCTTGCGTCACAGAAAGTCAGGGGCCAAACACTCGCCTGTCGGCGCTTGCTCCCAGAATCCAACACTCCCGTCGCAAATCCATCTCGTTTCGGTGCTTCACCAAGATTCCATCGCCCTCCGTCCCATCTCGTTCATCCGACAACTGTCTCGCGGACGTGCTTCTTCAACGCCTCTTTCTTGACTCGAACGGTCGCGTCAATCAGCCGGCAAGACGCTGGCGCTGAAAGAGGGGGGGGCTAGAGAGGGTCACGGTTGTCGAACACGTGTGAATGTGTGAATTCTAAAGGGCCACGCGGGTCGTCCCTTTAGCTCACAGTCATCGCCGGGATATCCTTTCGTTTGTTTTATCGTCCGTGTCGACTTTTCCTTACACCGTCCTTGCTTCAAGATGAAGTACTTCACATCAAACTCCATTCTATCGGCCTCTGCCCTTCTGTTATGGGCCCGATCTGTGTCAGCCGACACTCCAGTCAGCGCATTGGTTCCAGAGGGGTGTTACAGTTCGGTCGAGGGCTTCAAAGATGTCGGTCCATACACATTTCAGAGTTCCGGATATTGTCAGCAACAATGTGCGGGCCAGGGGTACCCTGTCATGGCCTTGTTCAACGGACAGGATTGTCAGTGTGGGCATGCACTTCCTCCCCCGTCGGCAAAGACGTCGGACAGTGACTGCAATGTTCCCTGTAATGGATGGCCCAAAGAAACCTGTGAGTCAGCCAGTGTCGACCGAAAGTAAGGGACGCGGATTTTTTTTTTTGCTCACAGGATTATAGGCGGTGGCAATAATGCCTACAATGTTTATCTTACCGGTCTCGAGCAGACCGTCCCTACCCTTTCTGCGACCTCGACAGGT